TCTATTGCTTGAATGTTTATCAACCAAAGTGAGCCATTCATGAGATTGCCTTACGAGTGATGGAATAACATGTTTGCGTGGAAATGTGAGGTCTCTCTTATGTATATGTATTTGAACACCTAGCAATCTTTGATAGATGAGAGCTATTGGGAATTATATATAGCAATGTCTTCCCTTTTTCTTACTTTGCCAAGGAGAACTAAACTATTGCGTTTCTTTATTGGAAACAATCTATCACAACATTCTTATATTAATCATCATTTGATATTCGATTGGGAGTTGTCCAATCCAACTGATTCGTGCCAAAAATGAGGACGTGTGGGTTGTGGGCAGACCAATGTAGGTAGGTGTGCACTTTTTGTAATGGATCCATATGTTGTAGGCAGACCAATGTAGGTAGGTGTGCTGTTTTTATCACCCTCCATTCCCATTGTTAACATGGGATCGAGGACTTAAGTATTACATCACCATACTGGATTTCTATTATCATTATGTGTAAGATCATACTCCAATGACAACAAAATGTAAAAGAGAATTTCAATGAATGAATTTTGTTCACATTGATACTAGGTTTGTGAATTTGAAAAAAGTTAAAAATATTGTTTAATGGTATTCGCTCCCAAGTTACAATACAGTTGGTAAGTGAACTTCGGGTACCTTGATCCTTATCATAGAGGAAAGCGATCTCATTTAGTAAAGAATTCCCTCCTATGAAGATATGGAACGCTCTCCCTAAAAGTCAGGGATCTCGATCCGCTTTACTTGACCATGTACGGACCTCGTTTCCCAAACTAGGGATCTTCGAGCCAGCCTCGCTCCGCGCTCCCGCTCCCAATCCCGGAGCTCTTGTCGCTCCCGTTCCCGGTAACTATACAATAGACCATGATTTATAGCACTCACTTAGATTGCAATATACTTTTCTTAAAACTTGCTTGGCTGAAGCATGGCCTTTCACCAGTCCCCAACTGCAAAGGGACATGAAGGAAAGAATGCCCAACCTCCAGAATGGGCTGCCCTGCTGCCATGACTTGGTTATCAGCTCGACCCCTGTTTCAAGTAACTATCGAGCCACATATGCAGGCCAAGATTTTCACCTCAGACTCCGCCACATATGAGGTTATTTGTGCTGGTTTTTGTTGCAGGAAAGGGACTCAAGGAAGCAGCAAATCACTTTCTCTCTCATTATTTGGTTCTCTCTCATTGATGAGGTAGAGGAGATATGGCAATGCAGAGCACGGTAGCAGATCTCTATGTTGGAGCTCATTGTGGATAGTGGGAGATGAGTGGGAATGGGGTGGAGAGAGAGAGAGAGAGGAGATGGCGAGTAAGGAGATGGATGCGAACAGAAGAGATAGGGCGGCGGGTAGAGAGAAGAAATGAGATGGAGGCTAGAGAGAGGAGATAAATATGGTTAGAGAGAGAAATCGGGATATGGGTTTATGAATGAATGGGAAAACCGGTGGACCCACTTATAGAACTTTCATTTGTTTTCAGCTTCCTGAAATGCCCTTCAAAATTGTAGCCACCTGTATTTTGCAGAAGGTCATTTTCTGTAATATCTAAAATGATTACAATGCACTCCATTAAGTACAAATTCTTAAGATAAGCATCCCCCACCATCCATCATGGATACTAGACATTCAACCGTAACTCATCTTATCTCTCTCTATGCCTATTCTCTTTCGATCTATGCTTCATTTTTATTTTTATTTGTAATTTATAATGAAGGTGTATGGGAAGAAAATGGCAGAACCTATTTTGACTTAAATTCATTAATATCTTTTATTAAAAGCCTACACTTAAATAACTTTGGCATATTATTATGCAGGATTTTGTATGATAAGACCTGAGTAATAAAAATGAGCTAAAATTTACTTAAGAAGTCATATTTGTAAGTCCAATAAATTCTTTATTATGTGGTTCCAAGTTTAGCAACTGTGGCCAGAAACTCATCTCTCTTACCTCTATGTTTTTCTCTTTCTATCTACGCTATATTTTCGTTTTCAATTTATAATGAAGCCGTAGGGGAAGAAAAAGGAGAACCTATCTTAACTAATCTAGTAATATCTTTTACTAAAACTTACACATTCTTGAAAAATCATATTTTTAAGTAAAACAGATATTCCTAATGTATTTATTTTTCATATTTTTTATATATTTATTTGAAAGAGAACTTCTATGATGCCTCCAAACTTGGGAGCTGCTTCTTACCGATGATATCTTGCTCTGGTTCTCGCTTACAATAACTGTGATCTAACATGGGTGTGAATTCTACTGATTGATCCCCAAGGGATTGGGATCATGTCCCCCCCATAAGGAAGCAAACCCACCAAAGACCCCCTTTTGGGAGAATGGGATACCCTGGGTTGCCACCAAGCTGGGAGGTCCAGAAAACTAAATGGCAGGTATCAGAGACATTTTTAGTGCCCACTAGCGAAGTTTTTCTCTCATAATCTGGGCCCATAAGCTCTGGTGAGGCTTCCCACGCTAAATCCAACACCTTATCAGCTGGCATGCAATTATTTGACAAAATTTGGGGCCCCACAATCCATCAAGAGCGAGCTGCAACTCCCAAAATGTCATAGCATGTGCCAACAAATCCACTCCCCGCCCCTAGAGGTTAAAGAACCTCTTTGAATGATATTTCATAGAGCTCCAGCCTCACAACCTCAATTATTCCCAATTGATGAGAAGATGAGAAGCTAACTTAATGGCTGATCATCTTGCTTGTTAAGGGGTGAATCAACCACAGTATTTACTTCTCAATGCCAAGAACCCCACATTCCCTAAACACCAACTTTTGTACAAACCCGTGGCCATTCATGTAGCTACAGTAACACACTTTTGTCCCACTTTACCATTACAAATTGTACAAGTTTATCATTTTCATACAAAGAGTTAATTAACGAAAAGAGAAAAAAAAAAAAAAAAGAACAAGCAAACAAACAAAAGAAAAAAACAGACGAATGTAACACTCAAGACCAAGTTAGACATATATAAGCTGATCCACAGGAGCACAAAACCTCCATTTTCACTGTGCTACTCCAATCTCACCAGAAAAGTACTGAAAGGATAGTACCTCTTCCATCTCTTAAGATACTGATTGTCAATCATGCTCCTGGTTTCTCAAGATACTAATTATCAAACATACCGAGTGGGGATGGCACTCAAGCCTTAGCCACTAATAATGTCTGAAAATGATTGACTACTCCTTAGCCACTAATAATGTCTGAAAATGATTAACTACAACAAAAAATAGCTAAGGAGAAGGTGTCTTTAGAAAGGAATCACCTAAAAAAGGATATCCAGAAGCTTAAATTTTAAAGCGAGAGACACCCATTCGGCAGGAGAGGAATAGATACCAACTATTTCTACCGGCCGGCTGGAGCGAATGAATATCCGGGGGCTGGAAAACGTAAGGGTAAAAACCGGATTGCTTGGGTAAGTATCTACTAAGAAGCACTTGGCGAAATCACATTGCATTTTTATGGTAAATATGATGTAACCTATAGGAAATTACGGCACTTTAGGTGGTTGTTTTCAGGGTTGCTAGTGGCACCAAATCCACCGTAATTAATATCATCTCTCAATGTGCTTGAGGTATGTATATCCATGGCTAGAGATTTCAATTCCCAATGCCTGTATATGGTATGGGTCACTAAGGGCGTCTTTGATTGGTGAAACTTTTTGGCAGCAGGCTCAAGTTCCACGAATCAAGCCTCCCATGTTTGTTGCGGGAATGTTGAAGCTGAATTTTGGAAGCACAGTGCTCCATGCTCCTCTTAAAATGGCTCGTTTTTGGAAGCCACAGCATGCCATGGCATGGAAGCCGCAGGTTCCACTTTTTGTGAAAGAGGGGGCCGCCAAGCCCCCTCTTTCACCTCTCAAACAAGGCCTAAGATTCGAGTGGAAATGTTGAAAGCAGTGCAGTACATCAGACTTCTAAGGCTGTGTTATGGCTGTGCCCTTTACATGGCTGACTCATATATGATGCCAAACCCATAGTGAGGTGAGCGGCCACATGTAAATCCCTCGCTGTCTCTGATAGAATTGAGTGCGACAATAAGTACAACACAATCACAAGTATACACACATAGCTGTACATGACCTTGCAGAAGCTTACACTTAAAGTATATTACAAGTGTGCCACGTGAATATAGTCTCTGCCACTGATGCTGGAAATCATTTCTACAACCTTAGGACTCTATATTTGGGTATGGGAAAGGAAAAAGTGCTGCGATGATTCCAACATAATCAAATGCACTAAACAGTGAGGAGGATTCCCACTATCATCCTAAGCTGCCTATAGTTTATTTCTATTATCCAATGACTTATATAAGTATACAGGTTCAAGGCTAGATGTGTGATATAATTTTCTTGTATATATATATGTAGGAGGTCTTGTCCTGAGTATGAATATAATAATCCTTTCATAAACAAATCTCTCCCTTTATTTTCAGAATATGAAATGATATTGAAGCTGGTTTGACCATATCAATACAATGATCTCCTGAAGATTTATTATAATAATGAAATGTATAGAATGAAAAATACCTTAAATTCTCCATCTAAGAGCGAGATGATGCCACCTGATATGGATTATACACTTGCTAAGCCATACACACGCAATTGGAGATTTGGAGTCATGGATCATGGGCACAGCTATTATCTAATTACTTACATTCGTAACTCCAGGTAATGCATGTAGGAAATTTGAAAGGTCACAAGAGTCTGGCAAATGAGTGATGATATTAAAATTTTGAAATGGGTGACGAAGAAATATAGGGACGAGCTTCTTAAAGTAGAAGCAGAATCTAGTAGGGAGAAATTTCAAGTTACATCAAGGTTCCCATTAAATGTGATAAATTAAAAAACACAACCAAAGAAATTAAGACTTAAGATCCAAAGGGCTTCTGCAAACAATTCATAGAATCGAAAGGCTACATTATTCTTATGTTCTAATAAATTCTCTTCAATACTAAAGTTAAAGAAGTCCTTACATGCCATCATGCTTTCCAAGAGGTTCATCGTACTGAACTCCAACCCAAAACCCAGGTGCCAATGTTCCAGCTTTACCAACAAACTTTACAACCCCTCTTTTCTCTCCAGGTTCTACTTCACATCGGTCGCCAACCTACAAAAAAAATGGTTAAACTAATCAATCTAGAAATATGCGACAACCACACCCAAATTACACATGCAAAACCGGAAATCAGTAATCCTAATGTAAGGCTGAAAGGGAACAACATAGAATTTGTTGAATAGAACTAAGTACTAGAAAAATGCGGGATGAGGCCGAAAGCATTGGGAGAGCCGATGTGGCGATGCGACTCGATGCGGGTGCATAGCGGCGATGCGGTCAATAAATATAAAAAATTCTAAAAAATATAAAAAAATAGGTTAATGCATAGAAAAAATATGGAGGTGATATATGTGATAGTAGGTGTTTAGTTTATTCATAAACTTCAAAAGTATTAACTGTCGGAGATTTTGTATCCACTATCCCCTGATAGAAACTAGAAACCTGAAACTAGCTTCATAAAACATTCAACAATCAACAACCATAAGCACAAATTTGCAACCACAAACTTTAAAGTTACAAAATACTACATACTAAAAGTCCATGAAGATTTGTTGTCACAAGTTCGCCTAAACTTCCTCAAATCAACGCCCAAAAGATACAAATCAACAACCAAGCATCAACAAATGCACAAATCGAAGAACTTCAACAAATAAAATTTTCACCAAATTTTTGTTTTGATTCAATCAATCCAATGAAAGCCATGGATGTGCTGAAAATTGATGTTTGGGGGGTTTAATACCCCCCAAACCCTTTCCCCCTATTTTTGAAGGTCCAAATGACCTTATTACCCCTTGCCCGAGGGGGTACAGTTTCAAAAAAAATGGCAGAAAGATTATGCGGCCTGATGCAATTGATGCGGGATGTGGCTCTGATGAGGAGAGATGCGGCACATAAGCGAACGCATCTCTCCAAATCGAATATGCGGGGATGTGCGATGCATTGGGCAGCACATAGAAGAAGTGAAGCTTTAAGATGAGGAAGGTAGAGGCTTAAATGCTATTCAGGCCCACTGAGGAAGGTGAGCTTAAATGTATGTGTCCCTTCCATTTATGCAGAAAAGGATTATCCTAGTGTCATATGATATCCTGTAAAGAGTCCTCTATTCCGTGGAGGTTGGCCATGACATTTGATGAGATTTTTGGCATTTGTGACACTAAGAATGTGACCTATGTGCACAGTCTTAGGGTGCTAAAAGGGAGGCTGACTGTTGCCAATGAAGGGGTTCTTCAAGAACCACTCTAAGTCGATTTCGCTTCAGGCTCCAGATGGTGAAGCAAAACCAAATAATGACCGAAGCACTCAGGTATACTCCTTTGGGATTTTAATAGAAGGATGATGGTTCATTATTATTTTCATTGCGCTTTTTTCAGCTTCTAACAAGTTTCACTACCAACAGCAAAATAACCTAGTTTTAAGATAATACTTTAATAGATTGATTCCACATACTTTTAAAGCAATCTGACCCTTGAATTGAGGGATTTAAGTTTCTTCTTTTATAATAAAGATTCCAAAAATATTTATGCGAATCTAATTCTTGATTTCAAACAAAATTCTAGAAAACCAATTGATTCACCAATCTCCAAATCCAGGGAGGTTGTGTCCTTGTCTCTGCCATTAATAGTCAAAAGAGTGGGTGTCATTGTTATTATTTATTTATTTTTCTGGAGATGTTAACTTTTAAAAAAGTGGGTGCTATTGTGGTTTCTTTTTTTAAGAAAAAAACCCTACAGTTTCAATTTTTCCTATTATCTAAGTGTGAAAATATCTCCATACCCCCTATTTTTAGGTTTCATTTCACAATAGACCCAAGGTTTTAAAAGATATCTTGGGGCATAAAATTGTAGATTTTATTTTTTTCTAACCCCCTGAGCAAATTTAAGCATGTTTTTTTTGGCCAAATAAATCTAAAAATACATGTCTTTTCTAAAAGTCATTCTCCCAAACTTCTAGAGAGAGAGAGAGAAAGGATTCATTGAGGTGAGAGGTTACCGGGTGGAGAGAGAGCTGTTTGGAAAAACACGGAAGGAGAGAGAGAGTGAGAGATGCAACAAGACAGAGAAAGAGAGAAGTTTAGGGTATATAAGTGAAGAGAGAGAAAGGATTGGGTTTCGAAAGAGCATGCCTTTCTCACATTCGTTTAGGTTAAAAAATAGGTTTAAAGTGGCCAAGGGGTTAGAAGATATCTTTTGAAACTTTGGGTTTACCAAGAAATGAAATCTAAAAATATGGGATATGGGGATATTTTCTCAAAAAAAAAGTCTTCCTCCGAATCCATCGAAGGTGCTACACTTCCCTAATAGACAATGGTACCCCGATGCGAATCTATTAAAGAACACAGTTTCTATGAGTCCATGTAGAAATGAGTCACCTCTTAAATATCTGTTTTTGAGATGGATTTTGGGACTTAATTTTTAAGGACATGTAATCTCTAACATGGAGATCATGAATATGAAATATAAATAAATTTTAAAAATTAGAAATAATAATTTTATTAAGAAAACATTTGAACCGTTAGTTTCAATTGTTTTTAGATGGACCACCTATCTGCATCCATCTTTAAGATGGATGATTTATACCTTGTGACTGCATATTGTACAAATGCAGTCGAGCCCGCATGAAACAATTTTCCTTTATTAAAACTGGGTCATACATATATAAACTTACAAGTTTTTTCAATACAATCATAAGTCAGTGTTAGAAATGGCAATTAACAATATAACCTAACAAAGGGAAACTCAAAAGAAATCATACAGCTAAAATTTGAAGAAATAGTGTATGCAAACCATACCAATAGTGCATTGTTTATAAAAAATCAATACCACAATGAAAACAGAAACATTCTTCTCACTCTTCCGTAAAACTGAGGCAGTTTTCCAAGAGGATGCATAGTATTGCAGTGGATGGACACATCAAGGATGAAACAAAATATGAAATTATAATCGCTGAATGAATTCAAATGAAGAGTAGGACATAAGTCCATGCATATTCAAGGCACAGATTGCTAGGTCAGATAATGAGAACAGTTATGGGAACAATGATCAAAATGGCCACTCCAAACATTGTTTCGCATTTGATCTAATAATACCAAAGGTCAAACTTCTAATCAAGCAGTACAGATGAACTAACGAAAGAATGACCGAAGCTCCTCTATTCAAGGAAAGGTCATACAATCAGCCACAACCAATGGATACAATTGCATACACTTGGTAAAAGTTTATGGCAAAAACTTATGTTAGGAAAGGTCGCTAGAACATCCAAACACATGAGTGATTACGGAGGATCACAAGTGTGAAGATGAATGATTACGGAAAATTGTAAGTGTGTGAAGATGTGTTTTAGGAGGTTAATTTTATGACGCCAACTGTACGAGGGAGGACTAACTAATGTACGGACAACTAGTGAAGAGAGTGAGCTTTCAGTGACAATGGGTCTACATCTACGTCAACATTGAGCCCATACCTCTGTGTCTTAGTTATGGACGAGTTAACTAGGCACTAACAAAATGAGGTACCGTCGTACATGTTGTTCGCAAATAACATAGTTTTGATCGATGAGACCCAAAATGACATCAACAAAAAGTTAGAACTATGGAGGGAAGCTCTAGAATTTAAAGGTTTTAAAACTAGCTAGACAATAACAGAGTATATGGAATGCAAGTTCAGTAATAGTAGGAGTAAAGACGAGGACAGTTAAGATTGACGGCCGAGAAATACCAAAAAAATCGAACTTTCAATATCTTAGGTCAATAATCCAAGAAAAATGGTTGAAAGTAGAAGAGACAATTCGATTTCGATATCTTAGGTCAATAATCGAACTTTCGAGATCTATTGGTTCCAGAGATCTAGAATCACCTGGTTGAAAGCAAGTGATCGGATTACTGCCTTTTTTCATCGCATTGCAAATTGTCGCAAGAGAGACAATTCGATTTTGATGATTAAGGTTAATAATAGACACCTCACTTAACCTGCAGAGATAGAACAGGCAATTTTAGAGTTCTTTCAGGCTTTATACTCTGCCCGCTCTGGCCTTAGACCGAGAATGTCTTCCCTTGACTTCCTTACCCTCACAGATAATAAAGCTGTCTGGCTTGAGCAACAGTTCACAAAGGAAGAAATTTTATTGGCTATCAATGCTCTAGCCAAAGACAAGGCATCAGGTCCTGATGGATTCCCGATCGCTCCCTTCAAGGAGTCTTGGGACCCTTTAAGGAGTCCTGGGACACCTTTCGTCCTGACTTCATCAATTTTTTCGAGGAATTCTTCCACAAAGGTACTCTGCGCAAACCATTAACGCAACCTTCATAGCTCTGGTTCCCAAAAAAGAAGGTGCTGAGGAAATCAAAGATTTCCCATTAGCCTCCTGAATTCTTCGTATAAGATCCTAGCCAAAGTCCTGGCCTCCAGACTCCAACAAGTTCTTCCCTCAGTTATTTCTTCAACACAATCTGCCTTTCTCAAAGACAGACAAATTCTTGATGGAGCCTTAGTAGCTAATGAGTGTATCCACTCGAGGCACCTTGCCAAGAAACCTGGCTTTATCATTAAAATTGATTGGGAAAAGGCATATGACCATGTGGACTAGTCAATTCTTGATGAGACGATGGCTAGAATGGGTTTCCGAAATAGATGGAGAATGTGGATGCTACTCATATCCACATTTCTCTATTCTTATCAATGGAACCCCTAAAGGTTTCTTCCCTTCTTCAAGGGGTCTCTGCCAAGGAGACCCCCTTTCCTCCTTCCTCTTTGCTATTTCGGCAGAGGTTTTCAGACGCTCCATCTCTCGGCTCTCAGAGACTAGTTTACTGTCGGGCTTCAGGAGTACTTCACATGGACCAATGGCGTTTCATCTGCAGTATGCAAATGACACTTTGGTGTTTATTGATGCCTCCTGAAATAAAGTTGAAACCCTCAAACTCTTCCTTAGGTTCTTCCAAACAGCAAATAGGTTCAAAGTTAATTTCCATAAATCTAAAATGAGGGGTGTAGCCCTTAACACCAGAAGAGGTCAAATCCTTCATTCCAAGGTGGGAACGCAAAGTGTAAGACTTA